TGCGGTAGGGTGGCTCCTTGCACTTTATGAAGAGTGCTCGCATACCCAAGTCGCAGCGGAAAGTGTGCAACCCGATCCTCGGATGTCCAAGGGTGAATGGCCAGTCGCACACCTTGGTCTGTACGAACGAGGATATTGCCTTGGTCCATACCGAGTACCACCGCACCCATCCCGTTCACAAATCCCACGGACTTGTTCAAGTTCTTCGTGAGGATCACACGACAGCCACGGTAGATGGGAACTTCGACGGGGTTGCGGGCTACCATGCGACCGGAGTCGAAATTCTCCACGTTACTCGATCGCCAGGCACCACGGCCAACGGGATGTCGTCGGAGAACAAGGCGGCCACGGCGGCTGCGTTGACGCAAGCGCGGCGGCTCACCGTGAGGAACAGAGTTTGCGGGGTCTCCTCTAGAATCATGGCAACGTCCTCATCGGATGGCTCCTCCGCCATGACGTAGCCGGTCGGTGCAGGGACGGTGCTTTGTGGCCTGCTGTGATCTGCATCAATTGTCGGACCGTGGGCTTGCCGATGCGCAGAAGCTCCAACTTCTCTCGCAGCTTGGGGCACTTGCACCGCAACATCGTATGCAGCTCCCGCTTTTTGACGAGCACACTGTGCCACAGGGGTGAGTCCAGGGCATTGCAGGGGTCGACGCCCGGCAACTGGTAGAAGTCGCCAACGAAGATGAGTGTCGGAATGCGGTCGGCCGCCTGCCACTGCTCCATAATGCGCTCGAAGATGGTGCGGGAGAGCTGTCCGACTTCCTCGACGACAATCAAATCATATGGCCAAAGCACTTCCATCGCCTCCTGGGCAGGCTTGTGCACGAGAAAGGCTCCGCGCACGGTGTCGACCTCCAGATCTGGAAATCTCTCTCGCAGGGTCGCCGCCAGGCGGCCGGTGGGTGCAGTCAGGAGAACGCGACCGTTCGCCGCGACGACTTGCCGAATGACTTGGTGCACTGTGGTTGTCTTGCCGCTACCAGCCGGACCCAGAATTGCGTAGGCGGAGCGGCCAGCGACTGCAGGAGCGAAGGGAGAGGTCCGGGCTGCCCAGGGATCCTCAGCTGCATCGGCAGGGTCGGCGTCGTCGGGGCCTTCGCCCTTCCAGGCGTTCTCGCCTTGCTGGCGCAGCTGCGTGCCTTGGTGGAATGCATCCAGAAGCTCCGCTGCGATGCGTTGCTGGTGGCCGGACAATTGGACCGCGGTGTCAGGGCCAGCGCCGTCGGCGGGGCCCGCGACGACGTCGTCGTTCTTGTCGAGCTCGCCAGAAAGGTACTTCCGAATGAGCCCTTGGTTGGCGAAGAGCATGGCCAGAATGTTTCGGATGTGGTGCTCTCGGAAAGCTTCGAGCTCAAGCGGTCGCCTCGCTTGTCCAGTGATCTGGGCGCAACAGCAGGGCCAGAGCTTGATAGTAAAGGTGCGGCGGCACACGGTCCAGCTCCTTACGCCGCAGATCGTCCATGGAGCGGAAAGGAACATTCATCAGAACCCACTGCCCGTAGTAGCGGTCGTTGTAGCGAGAGAGGTAGATGGCCGCGACCGCGACATCGCACTGCAGCGGAGCGTTATTGACCCAGTCCTCCAGTGTTTCTTCCATGACGTCCTCGTCATTCCTGATGAGCTGCTGATGACGGCGAACGAAACTGCGGTGCACGCCGCCGCGCAAATTGGTTTTTCGGAGGAAGTCTGCGAGGGTCATGTCTGCTGCCCGCCAGCGACTGTTCAGGTACTGCACGACCCGATCGGGGCAGGTGCCTTCCCAGGGCACCGGCACGCGGAAGCGCTGAGGCGTGCTTCCGGCAAAGCACTGCGGAAACCACTGCATGGCCAGCTGCAGCGTCATCTCCGGCTCCAAAGGGTGGTAGTCGGTGAGCACGCGACGAGCGACGGCGTAGTCGCTGCAGGCATC